CTCTCTCTCTTCTCCTCTCTCTCTCTCTCTCCTCTCTCTCTCTCTCGACAGCCCAGTCAGTATCAGGGTTAGTCATTAGGTAGATTTTGAACACAAGTCTAACGTAGCTCTTAAACTTAACGTTAGCTTTTCTAGCTAACACAACACATTCACGCACCTTTCTCTGTGGGTTTTTTGTAGTGACGAATGAAGTTGGATGTTGTGGTGGTCGTGTCACTGATCTTTATGCTGCAGACCCTGCATACCGCTGTTCTCTTCTTATTATCGTCATCGACAACATAATCCTTGAATCCAAACTTCACTATTTGTGGAGTAACGCTTGCCGCTGCCACGTTAACTGACAATCCTGTGTCGAGTGGGTTGCCAGGTTTGCGCGCACGGCGCTATAATCACCCAATCACATTTTTCGAAAAAACTAAACGTAATATCTCACTACAAAAACAAACGCAAATATTTAATTTTAAACAGACAAGTCCTTTCAAGTCATCCGTCTCAAGCTTAAGTCAAGTCTCAAGTCATGAATACCAAGTCAAAGTCAAGTCAAGTCTTTTATCAATGTTAGTCAAGCAAGTCTCAAGTCAAAAAATATGCGACACGAGTCTGACTCGAGTCAAGTCATGTGACTCGAGTCCCCACCTCTGCTATATATACATATGGCTGATCAACAGGTAGGTTGTTGTAAAACCATTACAAATATGAACCACACTGATAGCTCCTTTAAAGGTCCCGTATTATACTGTTTTTCATCAATATATTACAGGTCTCAGATATATACAAACATGTCTCTGAAGTGTTTGGATCCAAATACCAAACAGATCATACATTGCAGCATCCCATAATCCCCTCTGTTTCATCCCTGTTTCAAAAGTGCTTATTCTCTGTCTGTTACTTTAGACGAAAATAAGGACCCACTCCCCATGTATTGGTTTTTCACCTGCACCTCACATTGCAACAATGATCATAACAGTTAATGAAAACTACATTTAAGAGTAGTATTGCCTTTTGACTTCAAGCTGTATACGTGTAAAGACAATCAATGGCTGTATCATCCACAGCATTTGTAATTATAAAAACTATTGTTTGTAGCACTAAATGTAAGTGTTCTGGTGTGTTACAGTGACTCCTTTTGGTGACTTTCTGTACTGCATGAAGCAGTTATTTTTAGTTCCCATGTGACAGGAAGTTAGCTCGAGACATTTCAGAATAGCATGTGTGCTCCAGCTAAGGTGATATCTGTTTATCCTGTGCCATCCATCGTTCATGGCCCTTGGCATTACCTGTAAGATTTTATGTTTCTACATTATATATCTTTACTTTGAGTGCATTATTGTGATCATTGATCCCAGCTGACATTTTGTAGTTGCAATATAGCCTAAACATTGCATCTGTACTTTGGCACTGACCTAATTTCATGCCGTCTTGGATATCTATCTATGTGTATGTAATTGTTATGTCATGTAGTTGATATTTACAATTGCTGTTGTTTCTGTATTCTTTCAGTTTCACACTGCTTGCTTAGTAAAGCTTCAAAACATCACCTCGTGGTCCTGAGTTTTACTGTGTGAGAGTGTTTATCTCGCTGGTTAACCGAGAAGGAGATTTCGGCGAGGCCAGTATAGTAATTGTACTTCTGTCTTAACAGGTGCCTATTCAAGATCAATCCGGACAAGGGGACTAAATCAACGACAATCGTTCTTCTCTGACATCATTACCAAAAATAAAAACAACTCACGTGCCTTGTTTGCTACCGTCAACAGACTAACAAACCCCCCAGT